ATAGAAGTAACCCGTCATAGCCTAATCTAAGGCACTATTCCAGCATATGCCAGAAGGATCTCAGGACATCCATAAACTCCCAGTCAGAATAGTTGGTCTCTGGGTCAAAATGCAAGCCCAGGACTTCCCACACACACAAAGCCGTAGTGCTAACCAGCCAGCCACAACCTTCAGGCTCAGCTGGGTTCATAGCCAAGATTTGAATTAGATATATCTTAAAAGTAAATTAGAATATGAGACAGGTATGTTCCAGTAATCTCACCTGGATCCTGCAGTTTGGTAAGCAACTCTGAGAGACTCTCCACTTCTTCTTCCTTTGGAGAATGGATCACAATCACTGTCGAGCCCAGCACACACAACACACATCCCATCTGTAGGAATAATATAATGACAATGTTTTACCCGGCAAACCCCCAATTTAAATAAATAACCAAATTTGGTAAACATCACCTACTTCATTAAATCACATAATCTGGAATGGAATGTGGTTAGCAATTATCCTTCGTATTATTCCATAAAATTTTCCTAAACAAAGGTTAACTGTTTAAGTTTAGTAAATACAATCTTCACTGCTTCAGTTACTGCTACTGGATTTCTGAAATCTTGTCCATCACCCAGAATTCTGACTAGTCCAAAAATCCATTTACTGAGGTTAAATTCTTCTAACGAACCAGACTGAGTATGTGCTACCCACCCCTTTCACCTAAGGGCAAGACATCCATTTTCTGAAACATTGTTCCCTGCAGAATATCAGACAATGGACATGGTCCAGGAATCCAGAGACAGTAGCTTTAATACACAAACATCACATCTGTATTGAGTTGGACATTGCTTCAATTAATTAACACACAAAGTTATTTTATTCTTTTTTTTCAATTCAAAATCCAAGCCTATACTATTCACTGATGATACTAATATTATTAACTATCATCCTGATAGCGATTATTTTCAAAATTCTATTAATGACGTCTTGGCTAACCTGAATAGGTTAAGTGCCAAAAATGCCACGTTAAAATCAGACAAAACAAACTTAATATAATTTACTATTAACAATAAATATTAATTGAAATATAGGTTACAGCAATAGAACAAATAAACAAGTATTAACAGGTCATTTCCCCTGACTTAAAAATTGATAACTTACGTCAAACTAAGCAAAGTGAATATAATCTCCAAACCAGTTCAGCATGCTTTGCCATGCAGACAGTGACGTCACTTTATAAAGTACATAGTTAAAAACTAGTTTAATTATTTTCACTCCCATCATATCATATGAAGTTATCTCTAAAAATAATGTGTGATCAAATCAGCCTCATCTTGCAAGATGCCAGAAAATTCCTAATACAGGTCAAAGTTCACAAAAGGAAACGAAACATCCATCATCCCACCAAGCATCATTCAGTGTGCTCCTTCCTAAAAATGGTTTTGAATATTTCAGACGTGTATGTCATGGATCAATAAATAATACGGTAACTGATACAATGTCTGTGAAACAGAGTGAAGACAAAATACAAAAACAATAATTTTGTGCTACGAAACCACATAAAATTCAGACATACAGATATTGCAATAAGAGCACTGGTACATACCACTTTTCGATGAATTAACATCATTAATGAGTATATATTATTGGAACTGAATAATTCTGTGTACTTAAATACTTTTACACCATTCATCAGTTTTTTTAATAAAAATTAATTTCATAATAATTACGACACAAAAAAGTTTTACAAAATGATAAACGTCTTCCTTTTGTGTTCGAGTGTTAGTATGACAATGGCGCAATGATCCGACTTTGGTTATCGATAAATCAAGCTTCCTCTGATGTCCTTACCCATGTCTTTTGCCCCTTCAAGACTCTTGCAGAACTAGTATAACAATTATACTGAAGCAATGTGGCTCAAGGCGCTCAACACTAACATGTCTGCGTTAAGTGAGCATAAACTTGTTTTTCTAAGAGAGTTTACGTCAACGTTACAAAGTTGTCATTTCTGAAAGCGTTAATTATTAATTTTGGTCCCTACATTAAAGTTCCATGAACTAGTGTTTTCATCTCTGGTTACATGTGTTTCGTGTCATTGTGCGTAAGGCTGAAGCGTTCAACACGTTCATAAACTGAATTCTACCAATGCATTCATAAATTTGTAGTGCGAGACTTCAAAATACCACAATACGCTCAGTATCTTTAAGCCATAACAAAGGAACATGCACGCATTCCACTAAATTATACCACGAATCTTGGTGGAATTTGGTATGGATGTTATGCCATAACTGAAACTACTGGTAAATATTACACAGTCGAGAACGTCCAACAATTTCCTACACTCTGTAATGCTAACGACGCAGTTTCTGGACGTCGTGTATTAAAATTACTACGCCATTACAAATGATCTTCACCGCATGCACGTCACTAACACAACCAAACTTAAGAAAACCAAATCTACACCCTTCCGCGGTAACGTCCGTCCGAACGAATTTCGTAACTCGAATGTAGAGCACGAAAATTTATTACATTTTGTACAGGTGTTAGCCATAGTTATTTCTTCAATGGGGCAATGAATAATGAAAATTTGTCTGGACCTCATGCCTTGGGTAACCGATCTAACTAATCTTCCAAATGCTGTAATGCTACACCCATTGCAAACCTAACCAAACTATTCAAAATTATGTCAGTATGCATTTCGTAAACTGAGAATGAATTAGACACGAATTTAGAGAGGAGCCATTTAACCTAAAAATGGGTCATTCCACCTAAATTCAACAAATGTAGAAAATATGGGGTACTCAGTATCACCATCTTACAAACAAAGGAAAATTTATGTACTCAGTATCACCATCTTACAAACAAGTTTTTATGCGGAAAGGAAAATTTAATTACTTGTATCATCTTCCAAAATACTTGAGAATGTCACGTACTCACAAGTAACTGATTTCTTGAACTATGACATTATACTCACAGAGGAACAATTTGGATTTAACTCACCTCAAATTTTGTCAAGAGAAATTTAATGAAATTTACTACTAACAAAACAAGTACTAATATTACTACTATAGGTTATGATAATAAAACAATTGAAGAAGTATTAAATAATTTCCTTGGTTTACAATTTCATAACAACTTAAACTAGAAAAAGCAAAATGAATATATTATCCTCAAACTAAGTTCACACCTCCGTTGAAAGCAAATGTTTTAAAACATGTCTGCTTTGCTTTCAACCATCCATCATGTCATATGGAGTTTTCTTCTTGGCAAATTCAACAAACAGCAAATGAGTATTTATCATCCATAAGAAAATCATCAGAACAATGGTAGATGTCAAAAGGAAAGTATCCTGCAGAGAACTATTTGAGAAATTTATTATTCTTCCCCTTACGAGTTAATTCTGACTGTCATTACTGTCTTTAATTTTGGTAAACATGGAGAACCTCCAAACAAAATCATCAAAATCATACATAACATAAATACAAGGCTTAATCATGATCTACATCAGCCGAGTGCTAACCACATTAGTTATCACAAAGATACTTAACATGCAGGAATCAAGTTACTCATTACTCTTCCATACACCATTAACAGTTCATACACATGATATAAAATTATTTAAGCCAGCACAGAAAAATTATCTTTCATCTGACTCCAGCTATTCTGTAATTATATTCGTAAAAGTGTTGGTATTATGTATGACTTACAGAATGTACATAAATTCTGTTCTGTTCCAATTTCATTTTGGTTAAATGGTCCAAAAAGGCACATAGCAAGATATTTGGTGCAAATGTTGCATTACAATAGGCTACAGTGCAATTCACATCCTTTCCAGGGGGAAAATCTGTTTTTACGGTTGACTGTGGTCTTCCTCTGAAATGTCAGTAAATGACAGGCTCACAGAGTAGAGTAGAGTAGAGTTTATTTACATTCCATAGATCCTTCTTAGGACTCAACCAAAGGATGTAAAACATGTCATTTCATACAATATACATACACTTCACAACTTTCAACACAAGTACAAGAACGTATTTCACATATCAATGTACATAAATTTCAGATTCTGCAATACAAGTATGAAAAATAATTTTACAAATTAATATACATAAACCTCAGAATTTTAAATATAAATACAAAACTTGCTTTACATACACGTAGATTATGGATATAAAGCTTAAACATTTTCAGCAGAGATGAAATCATCTACAGAATAGAAGGAGTGAGTAAAGAGGTAATCTTTCAATGCAGGCTTGAATACCTTTATATCATAATTTAGACTTTTAATTGTTGGTGGAAGATTATTAAACAACTTGATACCTGTATAGTACACTCCTTTCTGATATTTAGTAAAGTTAGCATTCAGCATGTTTACGTCTTGTATTTAAATTATGTACATCTGTATTTCTTTTAAATTTATCCATGTTTTCAACCACAAATGATAGCAAGCAGAGTATAAATTCACTTGCAAGTGGAAGTATATTAAATTTACGAAATAATTTTCTACAAGATACCCTGCTTTTGACACCGGCCATTATTCTAATTATTTTCTTTTACATGTAAAAAACTTTATTACTGTCTGTTGAATTTCCCCAAAAGATTAATCCATATGACAATACAGAGTGAAAGTATGCAAAGTAAACTAGCTTTAAAGTATCTATTGACATGAGTGGCATCATAACCTGGAAGACCACAATCAACATCATCAACACCATAATAATTTTAAAAATCAGACTTGTAATAATTACTTACCTTTCCTAACACGTTTAAATTCTCATTTAGGAATCGGGAAGACAAAATGGCAGCCACAAGCACACTCAATGCTCCTAATGGTGTCACCAGAGAGGCAGGTGCAAATGCATAAGCTGCAAAGTTAGCAGCTTCACCAATACCCACTGCATGAAAGACCAGAAATAAAGCTAATGATCCACTGCCTTCTGCTAGTGATGGCAGTCAGAGCTCCACTGAAGTGGAGGGGGTAAAACAATTTATTAGACATTTAACAAAATCCACTCACCTATAGTTTTGCAATATGCTTATAATTCATTTTAAACAAAGCACAAACTTTAGCAACACACAGAACATCATTTGTTTAAAAATTATGTCTAATATATTTAAGTCAAAGACTAGAAAACTAGTTGCCACCAGTCTGGATGAACAAGCCCATCATGAACATCTCGTTCATGCCCACAAGGTTCTTCAACATGCCGTAAATGAACAACAAGGGGCTGCCAGCTTTACTTCCCCTCCAAAGGAAGTTGTGGTACGGATTTTTGTCACCCTTAAAAAAATCCATCGACCTCGGCCGGGTTTGAACCCGAGGACAATGGGTCCAGTGGCGATCACGCTAACCATTAGTCCACCGAACTAGCCCATGGTGAGTATGAAAATATACTTCTAGCAGCCATGACGGCACCTAGCTGCCAGAGAAGCATGTGGAATTTTCTGGCATAAGACAACATGCCATTGTTAAAATATCATTTATGACCATTGTGTGCTACCACTAAAATATTTTGATTTCTCTCCATCAGAAGTCAACCAATTGTCACAATATCACACTGCACTGCATTAACTTTACAAATCAATGCAAATACGTCAAATGCAGTAATATTTGATCAAGAATCAATCATTAACAAATATTTTTATTTTACTTCTTTACTTACTACCATCACCACCACCAACAACAACAACAGTTAGCCTAAAAATAAGGAGAAAATAAAAATAACTTACGAGGTTTATCATAACCATCTGTTTCCTACTGACAGTGCCCAAGCAAAGGAACTTATTTTGCTTCAATTCAGCATGGCTGACCTGCACCAAATAATCTCAAGTAATCCTGATTTAGGTTCAGTTTATTTCAGTTCATACTGAGGGCCATTTTGCTTGAAAGCAAAAATAAACTTAATTTTGTAGCCTTTGCCAGATTTTAGTGCTACCTGATACATGACACTCCTAATATGCAAATATAATTCATATGGTACGTACAACAGCAGACAAAACTCATACATAAATGAAACAACATATCTTTTAAATTCTATATCTGATGATTGTTCTTGCTACACAGGATAATGGGCAATTTGAAACAATGAGATTAAAAACCTGAGTCTCCTTATTATATGCATCAGACAGAACAGATATATACTTACTTGAAAGTAATCCTGCCCACCAAATCCATTCTTTAAGATATCCAAAGCCTCCTGCACTGGCACGCACTGCTCCTGTCCTGTTCAGACGAATCAGAGCCTTCTTTTTAATGATGAAACTAGAACCTTCAACAAACACATAAGGATTCATAAGTGTTATGCTCCTCCTGAAAACACATGAAGTCTGAGTCAGCAGGTGTTAGAAACTCAAAGAATTCTCAATATTATACATCACACATAATTAAAATGACTTTCAATAAATGTTCATTCACACACACACAGAATTCTGATGTTTATTTGCTGCAGACATGTCTCTCATGCTGAAATATCTAATCAACATCATAATATCTGTCTTACAAACTACAACTAATTTTCATTATGAAATTAGCCAATAGATTATTTTCACAATGAAACTCTACATCTATTTCAATTCTCAACACTAGTAATTAATATGGACACAAAGGCATACCAGTGATTAAACCAAGATGAAAACTTGCCTATGAACACAGTGGAACTGACAGCCAAACACAATCCAATATAAAATTCTGTTGTATTGTAAGGTTGACTGAAAACAGAGGTATGCTCATTTCCAGCATCAGGCTTGTTGACTGACATGTTAAGAACTTTATTAGCACAGAATCTAAAATAAAATTCAGATAAAAACATTACTAAGTCTAACATTGAATGCTCAACATTCTTGAGAAAAGGCAGGAAAGTGAGCCAATGCATTAAATTGTTTGTTACAGAATAGAATCAAACAGAATTTATTTAAAGAAGACAGCAATCTTCAGACTCACTGCTGTAAAAACCTCAAATCCTACATAATATACAGAATTTATTTAGCCAGTTGTTTCAGAGATAATGCACTACTGAATGAATCTGCTGAAATATGCTTCAAACCTGACTATGCAATATTACTAGCACTGATAAGAATAACCTTCAATAACAATTCCCTTAATTTAATCCGTTTCTTCGTGCACTAAAAGTTTGTAAAAATAATATCAAATTCAAGGGTATTACCAATCTTTTAAACAAGTTTTCCCCTTCGACAAAGGATTTGGATTAAACTGTCCATTACCATGAAAACAACTAAACTCTGATTTAACATGCTTCGCAATATTAATAAATCTCTCAGTCAAAATTTAACTGCAGAATTCATTTAAACGTCTTACTAAGAAGCAACTAGGCAGTGACAGATTACACACGTGACCCTTCAAATATGAAACCAGAGAGTAACTTTGGAATGTGTAGATCCCTCTTCAACTATGACTCATTTCCATACTTGTTTATGTTTTTATTTAAGGTTACCAGCCCAATACAAAACTAAACGCCAAGAATGGTAGCCTCTATGTACCATCACGACAGTTCCTCACATCACACCATAACCATAGAGTACTGGTTACGTAGCTTACTTGGCTACCAACCTACTAATACCATCACGGATGTTGGTAACGTCACGTTTCAAATAAAAAAGCATGAAATTCCCTAATACACGCAACATTAGAAAATGAAATTTCATAAATTTAATATACTAGTATGAAATATATAAACTTCATCGGACTTTTACCCTTCAAAATTATCTTGAAACGACACTACCACTAATACATATCCTTAGACACACATAATATTGAGTGGGCTACATTAAATAGACAAACCCTTATTCAATTCAATGCGCAGAGGCAGAGCCAACAAAGTATATTCATTTAATGAATATGCAATTTCACAATACCGGCACTTTTGCCTATATAAGACGTTCCCCTAGCCATAATTTCCCTGGGCTTCTGAAATATGAACTTGTACACTGAACTACAACCCCAAATATATAGCCTTCAAATTTAATTTTCTTCAATCGCCAAATTTCTGTAATAACTTACGCCAGGCAACACCCACAAAAGTGATGCACTACTGCAAAAGGTCAATGTATGATCCCACTGTTAGGCCTTCTGCAAATGCAGCCATTTAATTTGCTTTGTGAATTGAAGTTACAGTGGAACCACGGTTCCAGAGAATTTGGCATAAATACGGTAGTTTATATATACCTACCTTGAATTAATTACACTTAGGATGGGTCTGTGGTAGCTTAAATCAAGTCTACAGCGCATTCTTCTATAAGCGTTTCACAGCTCAGCTCTTTCCGCAATAACGAAAGCAGATTGTTGACAGCAGTAATTATTTAGTGTTCTATCCGGCAGGTCCGTCGTTCTGCCCAAAAAAGTTCACCAGTTTTCCCTATTCTCAGCTTCTCCTTTCAACACACTGCCGAATAAACACGACGTTTCCTAGGTAACATAATGCATATAAGCTGACCAATATTGTGTCCATATTTACAAATTGCTAATATTTCCTAGGTAACCATGTTACACATTTTCCTGTCACTTTTTTTGCAGAATGACCCTTCAATATATAAACGTATTTACATCAAAAAGTGAAGTAGAATAAGCAACAGCTAACTACAACCATTAATCAAATGACTAATAAAGGAATTAATAAGAAATCCAACAGTGGAACAACAAAGTACCAAACATACACAAAGGACAGATGTTCTCCTCTCAGCAAGTGCACTTAGTACCCAGTCTGTACCACATGAGTATTCACTGATGGTTAATAAAGGTCAGACACAGGTGACATCACAAAATAAGAAAACTTTAATGCTATATCAAAATTTTTATTGCAATTTATCAGTCTTCTTACAAATGCTGGCTCACCTGAACACCAAACCATCTTGCACACAAAAGCAAGATCAGCAGCCACAAAACTATGGACAGAAGAAATGAAGTACCAAACATTCCCTAATTTAAAAATGTAATCAAACCACACAAGGATAAAGAAAACAGTATAATTAATTTATTATCCACCTTCCTCGTTTCTTAGCCTCAGAATATTTCATCAGTCAAAGTATATTCAGATTGACTGGGTTACGGAATTAAAATCATTGGCTAGAAAAACAATAATTACATATAAAAAGAGTTTGTCTGCTAGGACCAAAAATCTTCAGCCCATAACACTTAAGGGGGTTGGGGTTGGAGAAGAAAGAATAACTTACACAAATTACAGCTGATGCCAAAAATGATACTTCCATCGAGGATCTTCCACGTAGATTTGATCTGGAAACAATTTGCTTCATGTCAGTCTGTGGGAGACGTTACACCCCTCACATATAGGCAAAAATTTCCCCACAAGTACTTTTTATGCAGTAATTATTTTTCAAACTCAACAAATATTAGAAATAAGAATTGTATTTGTGCTTACAGGCTATACACCCTCATCCTCGGCTCAGGCTTACAAAGAATCAAAAAATGTTTCCATCTTCGGGGTAAAAAATTAGAAATAACATTTCTCCTGATGCCAGAAGAACCAAGATTCCATACAACAAACTGGAAACCTCTTTCAGATCGTAATAGCATCAGTGCATTCAGATATATGCTTGTCATTATTTATTACATCACTAGAGGTAGCAATTTCACTTGCCTGAAGAACAAATATCGATGGGCTCTGAATGGAAAACTTCGTCCACTGAATCAGCACGGAAACCACTTATCACAAAGAGAGATAATACATGGGCTACACAATAAAACAAATAGCACAAACAGAATTTTACTTACATCACAACAGAACACAGCAAAGGCAGCCGATGAAACCATCAACTTTGTCGAATGGCGGTGATACACCGCAAGTCCAAACCTGAAATATGTATATAGTACAGCCACCAAAGCAAGAAAAAGGAACAAAGCACCAAATCTTCTAGAACTCAGTGAGGGCAAGTTTATTTATCATGAAATCAAAAAATTTGTATCCACAATGACTCATCATTTCAATTCAGTATCATGACAACAAAAGATGAAATTCACTCACCAAGTACTTTGTTGAAGAAAGTAAAGGCGCGTTCTCACGAATCAAGTTTAATCGACCGATTATAGTTGACCAACGAAAGTTGTATATGACTTGAATCAGTTTTTGTTCACACATTTACAATAGAAACTGATCAACAGTTTCAGTTAAAAAAGCGTCGAAAGCAGCTGTGCGTGAAGCTGTACTGATAGTATCCTTTATTAAAAGAACTAAAAACAATTTTATTTAAAATGAGCAAAAATCGTAAGAAACGTCGTTTTTGGGTGAGGCAATGGATATTAAGAAGAAATCGATTCCTCTGTTCCCATTCCACTTTTTTTTATTTGCAAACCAATGAACGTTCTTCTTAATACATCGTTCTAATCGTCTTAATTTTGTTCTTCAGATCAGCAATATTAAGACCAGCAATTTCCATTTCTTTGACAATAGAACCCAAAGCATTTTCTCCTGCATCTTTATTTTTATATTTATCCAGTCGGTGGTTCCAAAAACAATCATGCTTATGATAAAGTTCTAAGAATTTTAGCATCACACTTTCAGACCACTTGAGGCTCATTTTTTAACTAAAAACACAACACAAAAAACTAAAAACAAAACACATGCAGGAGTGGTGTGACCAGTTGAAAGCAAACTTGACAATCAACTGAAGTTCACACGTTTCAAGACAGGATTCAACTTGAAAGCAAATGGCGGATGACTCATCACTTGAATGATAAAGTTTGACTGGGTCAAACTTTTCTTGATCCACTAAAAAGTTGATCAACTCTATCAAAACAAAGGTTCTCACTACAGATTTCATTCAACTTTTGTTGATCAACTATAATTGGTCAATTAAACTTGATTCGTGAGAACGCGCCTTTAGGTCCTCTCCTTCCTGATTCAACCTGAAACAAAGTTATTTATGGACAATATCCGTCATGTAGACATACACTGACATGAATATTCCTAGTTTCCAATTATGAAGCGTTCAATAAGAGAATAGTTACGAACACAAACTTACAAGTATAGGTTATGTTCCAGCAAGTCCAGTAGCAGCCGAAGCTGCCAAAGGCCAATTTAAACAAACAAGTTACAACACCAATCAAAAGAACAACGTGCGTGACCTGTAGCTGCCCTGCGTATTGAACTTGTATGTGAAAACAAGTCAACATAGCTTGTTAGCAGCGCCCTTCACTTTCCACAGTATAAACGCCACACTTGCTATATTGCTGCAGTATGGAGCTGGACTGTGGGTTCTCATGCACAGCGTAGCCAATCAATGACACCAGAATACAAAAGCACTGAATGATACTAGAAATTAGACAAGTAGTGATGGGAAAACTTACATTGTCCACAACTCGAAGCGCAAGGAACAATTCAACCCAGTTCAGCAATCATTTGGCAGCAAGTCCTTTAACCCCCCTCTCTCCAAGTAAAACACTTAATGATGCACCATTCTGCAACAAACCAAAACCAAATTCACAGATTCCTCACCGTCATAACTACAGACAAATTAGGTAGACTTGAAGCTCTGCACTCAGAATACCGATAAATCACAATTGTCATACTGGGGCGGTATATTCACATCATTGTCACAATATAGATATACCAAGGCTTATGCTTTGGTATGCTTTCATTCACTGCATATAGCAGAAATGTAAATTACTCAGAACTTACAAGAGTTAGGAGATAATCTCAATCTATGGACCAATACGTCCAGATTGAGTGAGATTAGTTGGTTAACCATGTTCAAAACAAGTTGAGATCACTGGTGCAAACAGCACTTACAAATGTAACATCATATTTACCTCTCCTTAGTACAATCTCACGTCCTCCACATCCAAACAATATCCTGAAAAAGAAGTAGGAATGTCAAAACCACCGTCTTACGCAGCATGACAACAGATGCAAAACTGAACAGCTCAGATACAAGAATAATCACTGAAATCATACGAACGAGACTATTTTAATCATCACAGCCACCACTTGTTACAGCTACATTAATAAAATCCTATTCCACTAAGCACTCTAAAACATCTATCTTACAAATACTTGGTATGTAGGAGTGAGGTGAAAACTGCACACACAGCACAGCTTTAACAGTCTCCCCATTAGGATTTTTTTTTGCAGTACAATATTACATGATATAAAGAAGTCTCACTTCTACTCTGCAGCACTTACTCAACCAAAAATTCCCAGGTATTATAAGACATGTAAGCAATAGTGGTTATTCTTTCTTGTGCAATTATTTTTCCACATGGACATATGCCACATTCATCAAACACACAAGAAGAATTTCTACATTCTGTGTGCACTAATCACGTATCAAACTTAAAGTAATGTTTGTTAGTCATTAAATCATGAGAATTCACCTCTCTACACAAGGAAAACCAGGCCTCGGGAAAAACATCAACTTCTCCATCAAGTGTAAGCCAGCACCTGCATGGATGATTTTCTCTCATACTGAAACTGTGACCTTGAAAAAGGATAAATACAAAGTTTATGTATCGTGTGAATGATATTCTTAAATACTAGAAAAGCAGACCAGTAGAAAAAACATACTTGTCTGTGAGAATCTCAACAGTCCGATAAACAAGATGAACACAGTTAAATTAGCAATATGGACTGCAACAAGACGCTAATAGCACATATATTAAATTAAATAAATTCCAACTCTTTCACTGAACCCAAAGGTAAAATGATGATCACCACGTTCCCATTCCGAGCCAAATGATCCAATTCACTCTCCAACCGCTTCCCAAAGATTCAGTTTAATATTAGGTCTCCTAACCACGTGGTTACAAATAACAAAACTTCGTAACTGATCGAACAAAAATTTAGAAAAACGCCTTGCAAAAGGATCCAATACATCACAGCTCATGCTACCACTGAAGCAAGTAAACTCTCATAAAAGAATACAAAGTTACACATCCCACAAACAACCTTTCGCCTTTCCTACCAAACTGTACTACCGCCCAAGCTCAAACTGGATGCTTGAAAAAAATTCTATACTTCAAATAAACAACGCATCTTATGGATTCTCAGTAAAACGATGTATCAATCACAACTTAAATATGCCAGGGATAACTTTAAAACATCACAGAATCCATTTCTTGAAGATAAGCTTGGTGCAACGTGTACAAATCCAGTTCGAGCATAATGTACAAAACATTTTTTTAAAAGTTTTTCGAACGTTTTTCCATTTTAGTAATATATTGTATTCATAACCAAATGAATATAAATTATTAAAAGTTATAGGAGGATAAAAACTGAACAAAACAGAACCCACAAAACAGCACCTATACAACAAACACAACTTACCTCCAACACCTCCAAAAACCAAATGGAAGAGCTTCCTTCCCAGCACACATTAACCGACTCTTACTATCGTGCTATCGATGTGCAATGTAGCGCCGTGAGTGTTGTGCTGCGCCCTGTGAGCGATTCACAATTAAACACAATAGGAACTTCGCAGAAGCACAGTCGGTAACAAGGTTAACTACTATTCAATCTGCAAACTTCCTTCACCCCTAACCCTCCAATAAACACTAAACATATACCATAAGTTATTGGAAACCCTATGAGCAACGTAATCTGTGTGTTAGAGAAACGGGATCAATCTGTAGAGTAAAAATTAGTGTGTATAACAATTTTCATATAACTTTCTGCCATCAGTTAAAGATTTCCCAGTAGCATGAAAGTTCCTTAAAAATAGCATAATTATAACAAGAATTTAATTCATAACAATCCATAATCCCCTTACTGAAATGTACTGAACCATAAAGTAGTCTGATATTCATAAGGACTGCGGTCAGCTGAAGTTCAAAAATTGTCAACGAAAAGCATGTTTTTACACGTATACTTGGATCAACAGAAAACAATGTTTTAGCTGGCTTCAATATAAAACAAAAAGATACTGAAAAGTTTCCTAACATTAAATGATATTCGCGCCATCTACCATAATCACATAAAGAAAAGCAATTTCTAGAATAGTACCAATTTATATAATGTATAGACTGCTACAGCCAGAGTTTCGAACAATTTGTACAATAAACCATACAATTATAATTCCTGAAACCAAAATAAAATTACCATGTTTAAATGATGAAAATCTAAGAATCCCAACAATTTGTACAATAACGCAAGCTATGATCTTGGACTATCTTTGCCACGGTGGACTTGTACTAATCTGTGAGTGTTCTTGCAAATACTGATAATATAAGCGAATTTGAAATACGAGGCGCGTCCACAAAGTAAGTTTCCCACTCGTCCCACAGCTAGCAAACCTTATATTGCGCGAAGCGACTGTGCGTACGTGATAGAGCAATGACGTAGCATGGCGCATGCACTAACGGCACCTCCCGCGTTCTCACAGTAGCATCGTTGAAGATGGAGTTTCTTATTCCAGCTCCCGCCGACTGTGAAGTGCGGCCAGTGATAACGCTAGGCCGCACACGGCTCGACGGACAGCAAGTCTCCTGCAGGAGTTCAGCTGGGAGGTGTTTAATCATCCACCCTACAGCCCGGACCTCGCTCCCAGTGATTTCCATCTTTTCCTACACCTCAAGAAATTCCTGTCCGGTCAGCGTCAGCGTTTTGAGAATGACAGAGAGGCGGAGATGGTTGTCACACAGTGGTTCCAATCCCAGGCGGCAGACTTCTACGACACAGGTATTCAAAAGTTGGTCCCACGGTATGACAAATGTCTCAATTCCGGTGGCGAATATGTTGAAAAATAGCTGGACACTTGCTGTATCTGTTGCAATAAATATTTCCATGAACTTGTGTTTTGTTTCTGTAAACGGCCCCAGGGAAATTTACTTTGTGGACGAGCCTCGTAGATGGACGGGCTTTACCAAGCGGACCCGGCCCCAGGCTGGAAACAGCAACGGATGATGATGACATTGCATGAAATGAGATGTGAACATTCTTCCTGGTCTGTCTCTTGTAATATTAACTATTCATAGGAAATAAGGTGTAATGATTCCTGATATCCTTAACAGTACAGTGTCTTCTCATTCAAAGATACAGTTAGAAGGGTTTGACTGTAAATCTTTAATAACACAAAAATTCATTACTTCTACAACTTTGGTACAAATAGCTCATTTCACACTTAATATGGTAGTCCCCAAAACACAGGGAACAGAAAACCTAACATTATTTGAAAGGCTTATAATCAAATAAAACGTTTCAAGAACTCTTTCCATACAAATATTTTGGCTTTTCGTTCTCTTGCTTATCAGATCTCTTGCATCACCGAGTGGCGTAACCTACACTCCAAAAATTTAATTGTACAAATGAAAACATCTAATCATTCAATTATTAAAACTTAAAAATGAAGTAATATACTAGAAACTCTATCTAGAAACTATTAAAATCCTAATTATACAAAATAAAATACTCATGTAATGCAAGAAACTCCTGAAAAGTCAGTCATTAAATGTTTACAACCCACATAAATACAAACACACAGAAAAAAGAACACTATATGAATATTGTTGTCTCGAAGAATATGTAAAACACAGTATTATCTAAAACGTTTAAACACACTTTCAAAGCGCTTACTATATTCTGTAAATAGTAATATAGCCACGTGACTTCTGCTAGAAGCTTATTTTTGTTAATATATGGTTCTTGCTATGTATTTTGCATGCATAATATAATGAATGCTTTCTGCTTAACTTTTACGACATGTGATTAAATTAGGGCGCTCCCACATTCATGAAACATTTGGTCTACTGCGTACAAGAACAATCCTGGAAAGTACGAACTCGACACATTACTATTATACAATACAGATAACAAAACAAAACTCTACTCAGCAAAGCTAACAAAATCTCACATTCCTACAGCAAGAACTGTCTCTTTGCAGGTTTCATTCAAAACATTGGAAAAGGATTCGATGACTATCGTGCTTAAATAATCATGACCACACTAACCAATGAGGTTGCGCAGATCATGACAAAAAACATTACACGCTAAACGCTAACAATAGTAGTAGAGTATATAATGCCATAAGACTGACACAGAGAACATGACGTAAACAAATCAAAGCACTGTACCATCATGGTGGGTACATGAAGCTAGTTTAGATGAAATCTGATAATTTCAAAAATTGATTACACTTCATTATATTCAAGCATTGTCATTTTGGGGGGGGGGGGGTGACACTTAAACATACATACATGACAAAATATCACATGTCACAAAGTTTGAGCTTTCATTTAAATCAAACTCAAAAGCAAATATCATGGAGATCTGCCAGAGTATCATACGAATCACCTTCCCCTAACTACATGGGAACATGGACACATCATGTTACTGTTTAGAAAGTTACATCAATAAAAAAACAGATATTAAAATAAGACAAAACAATAATTTGAATATGTTGCAAAATGGAATCAGGAATGTAACCCTTATGGAAAACAGAATCTGATGTCAGGAATAAAGAGCTTAACTGACAATTCCTGGTTACATTTGCAGCAGACGATGGCACAGATGTATCTCTTGCGTCTGGAACTAAAGGTTACACTGCCACAGTATCGTAGGGTGTGACTGTGAGTCCATTTTGGTGCCCTGCTTCGTTTCTGGTGGAAGAAACAAAACAAACAATAATTGGTGTCACTGACAGTACTTTTCTCAAAGATTCAAGCTTCTTATACTGTTAATCCTTATATTTGTCAAAAGAAACTTCAGAAAATGTAAGTAAATGGTTAAATTTCCACTATTAGCCATAGAATGCTCAAAATATCAGCTGGAGAAAACAATGAACCACAAGTAAAATTTTAATTTTTATCCATCTGTTCCACAGAAAACTTACAACATTAACACAGGGAGCCTAAAAGTATGTTCACACAAAACATCTAAAACTAGACATGGAGGAAGAAGGGACTAGAACAGTTATGTTCATGTTTACATGCCCGTTCCATGAACAAAATCCTATCACATTTGAAAAAATTACGCATAAGCTTAAAACACAGCCATCTTTTTAATAAAATATTAGTGACTGTAATCAACACAACTAATTGTCAAAAACAAAATTATTTTAATTTATTGGCAAGTTCTGATATCACACTATCATCTTCTCGTCAAGCTGCATCATAAAATTAACACAGTGTATCAAGATATATATCTTATAATCTCTGCCAATGGAACTATTTTCTTAATTAAGTTATAAAATGTTGGATGCATTGCTGGTATCATAAAAACATCTGCGCAATTTCACAGACAATCAGCATTACTGGGCACCCCTCCCCCTATTAGTTCAATAAATCAGTGGTCTACTGTATACAAAATTAGCCAAGATTATATCATACAGCAATATGACTTCAATTATCTGATCACAATCAGGTTTATTTAATAGAGATCAGATTTCATATAAATGTTCTTGTTCATTTTAAAAAAAAATATTCTAATCTTTCAAAAGTAGATTCAAACAGTCCATTAAAGTATTCCTAAACTGAGTAGTTAAGTAAATTACAACAAATAAATCCAGTGAAGAGATTTTTAAGTGTTATTTGATTTAGTGTATTGAATAATTAAGTCATTCACATATATTTTAACTATTCTGAATAAATTACTGAAGCTATGTAATATAATCTGTAATGGCTGCAACTATGAAGACAAGACATTTGATGGGCTGAAGAGCGTAGAAAATGGGAGAATTTCTGCACAAGCACACTCCCTTAATACAGTTTCTATTTGACAAGTAATCTCTCAACCTAGGTAAACCTGGAATGGGCCTCAATGTCATTATACTGTTGTTCATAGTACAATAATGATGTAGTATAAATATCTGATAAAGCTCACTGTATGAGCCAGACTGCTATTTCATTATCTTGTCATCTGCTTTGATCTCATTTTAGTGTGACTTTTATTCTCCAGAAAAAAAATATGATGCATCAATAAATTTGTACTATAGTTTTAACACCCCTGCTGTATAATTTAAGGGAAAATGCAAATGGAATTTGCAGAATAAAAATTTAAATGTTAATAGCATAAAATCACAATATTGTGATTTATGTCATATTAACAATAAATAAAGCACATAAATGTTCAACCCTATAAATAAAGCATGCTTCAGAGCAATATCAAGTATTAAGTGCTGAAAATGAAGAAAATGAAATAGTGAGCACAAAAGATTACTGAAACTTGAAACCACTCAATGTCATTCCAACCATTTCTCTTCTAATGAAAAGAAATTAAATACGTAGGTACATATTACGTTTGTGTAATATACAGAGAGGAGAACTAGACTAAAACAAGTATTTTTTTCTCTGTACCACACTTGATCATACAGACTAAAGGTACAAATGGTAGTTCATGTCATTTTAGACCAAATAAACACACTATCTCTCTGTACTACAGCCATATGGACTCCATTTTCTTTTATGGAGTCAATGAAAAAAGAACCAATAACAAGTATATATTCAATGTTATATGATTATAAAGCAATTCTTTTGTGGACACATAAACTGTTAAAACTACAAATAGCACTCCTGAGCTGTGCAACTTAAAATAACAGAATACACTCAGGGAAGTGAACTTAAAAGTTTAACCTACAATATGCCCCAAACAGAAATCTGTACAACACAAAGCATTTTTATACATGAGTAGTGACATTTTTTTTTTGTAGTGTTCTGTCTGACGACAGGTCCATATGAACAGGATCCTTCCATCCTTTTCTCGGACTGGGACCTGTTCATATACGTTCTTGGCAGATGATCCAGAAGTGGTTTGCCATTGCCTTCTTCTGTGTGTGAATAGAGTAATTGTTGGGATGCCCCGGAGAAACCGGGGAAGCCCCCGGAGGAAACCTCCGTGTTGCCTAGACCACGGCCTTGCTCAGCACAAGTTATAAATTCGGGCACCGCCGGGAATTGACCCCGAGACCCCAGGATTACAAGGCCAGCGTTCTAACCGCTAGACCACCGTGGCACTAGTGACATATACAGTGATTTTTTAAATACTAAAGTTAAATATATCTTGTCACCATTTGTTCAACCATACTGTCACACCTACAGTCGAGTATGCCCCAAAAGACTGCTAGCATTTTATTTTTTCTGGTTTAGAAAAGTGTATAAGTGGGAAAGTGATTAGAAGCATAGAATAACACATTGTTTAGAATGTCTTTAAATATATTAGAAGTAAAAATCAAATTAAAAATGTAATTAAATTGCTGAAGCTACATGTTTGAAAACTTTAATTCGCATAAAAGTAATGCCTCTACAATATATTCAGTTACTTATTTTAATCTGTTCATATTAACACCTTAGATTGATGATCAGATCAGATATGACCATGTCACAACGTGACTTCATATTGGCTATACGCACCTAACTTTGTAGCCTGGTGTGTCATAATTTAGTTTATATAACAAGAATTTATTGCTGCGGTTAGCCAAATAAAAATTCTGAAGCAAGTCGAAGTTGTCAATCCCACAACGTCTTCAACTTTGTTGACATGAAGAAACAAAACATTTCCATGTTCTAGGGTACTTGAGATTTAACCATCACAAATCAATAGCGTAATTAAATCATCCTATTATGGAGATGCTGACCAGATTTTAACTCTGGAGCGGTGAATGGTAGTGGTATGCTACAGCAACACATGACTGCACTGCATGTTAGTCATGATACACGGCTGACAAAGGTTAAATACGATTCTAGTAATCTTGGAAGTATCCTATGCTTCCATCAAATTCTGTTGAAACAATAATTCTGTTGAGATCATATTGTAAGGTCAATTCTGAGATGGGATTAAAATTACTATATGGGAAAATTAAGTGAAAGGAGGAAAATATGATGAGGCACTCTCTGTCAAAAAAAAAAAGGGCAGTGTTTTGGAAATTAGACCCCATTTTAAAAAAAAAATGGTACTGATTATATAAACTGTATTGTTTGGATGAATATAACAAATCATTTGTCACATGATATTTACTGAGTTCATGGACTCTTATTAAAAATTCCCCTTAATTTTTTTTCCTCAACCTACATATCCTTATATAACAAACAAAATATTGGTAGAATAAGAATTGGATGTTTAAAAATGTATACAGTACAAACAGAAGTTAATCAAAGCTAATGTCCAGATAAATATTTGTAAAATGAAGAGATCTATGTTCATGTGAAAATACACACTCTGAATGACAAAATCACTATCTTTCCATGAGTATGTTTCTGTGCACTTGATCATAGAAGATCTTACAAATAAGAAACATTTAATTCTTCTGTGAATTTTTTTTAAATTAATTTTCAAAACTTGCACAGATTCGTACATGAAGTGTCTTGTTGACGTAAATGTTGGAATTTTTACCAAAAAACTTCAACACCACTTTAACTGTATGGTCTTTCTATGACTTATAGTCGCATTTCAACTGGGCCACCTGTTTTATTTTTAGTCCTTTCAGGGGACAACCTGCCTCAAGAAGTTTCATCCTTTCAATTACCAGAGAACTCATAAACTAGGGTTTAAATAAGGTTCCATTCAATGCAGAGCTCAGCATTCGTAGTGCTTTAGTATGCAAAGAAAGAATAACAGAACACAAATATCCAACAGGCTTTTCACTACAAACTACTTCTGTTAGTAAAACTTACGCCTCCTTATTCTGAGCTTTCATCGGTAACTTACGGTTTCCTGTGTTTTCATGAAATGAGAAATCCCCCAAATATGTTATACACCAATTTCTACATAAAAGCACAATCTATGGCTACTTTGACCACTGGAATGGACTGAACTATTAAATGTTAAGTGCAGCGTATCCTCATGAATTTCACTTTCAGTGTTGGGGAAAGAACTGTCTATTTGACTTTATGTTGGCCAAAATTCCTAGATGGTCAACTATGGACACCACCATAATACTTGATTATTTTTGTCTAAAGCATTAATTTATTACAGCAATTTCGTTGTTGTTGTTGTGGAGTTTCTCAAAGTAAAAATCTGAAAATACAGTAAATGGGTTAACATCTTCATATCTGCATTTGCATAACATTTAATGGCATTTACAGTGATTCAAAGTAGCCCATGCATGTTAAATACATCTTTGAACACATAAAAAAAAATTAAAATAAAATAGTGTGTTAATGGAGTACAGTTCATTTATAATGGCCATTACATAGTGCTTATTATATTTATAACAAAGTGAACACTGCATTTCCTTATGGTGTAAGTGAAGTTTTACATCGCCAGAGTGGTGCAGGTGTGGGACTTCAAATTCATTTGTATCTTTTGCAACTCCACCACAAGTATGATACGCAGCCTGTATGACGTAACTTATGACAATATTCAGAATGCAGAGGTAAAATTCAACATCTGTCAAGAAAAAGTGTCACCATCAAACCTTGTAAAATATAAAAAAATTAGTGTGAAATTCCAACTGATATGAAGTGAAAGTAGGATGAATCAATATTAAAAATATATTAAAATTGGCCGTCAATCACAATATAAGATAATTAAAAGTTCCTTATCGAGTACTCGATTTACATGTGGAACATTTACGACATGTTTCGGCTATATATAGCCGTCATCAGGTGTTATATTATAAACTTTTTACTGAATTACTGATTTTTACTGATATTTAATGATGATTTTCAGTTCTCATTTCTCATGAATCAATGTGTTTAAAAACCAACGGCCTGCTCAGAATGTTTAATACATTCACACCTGGATAACCTATACCAGCTGATAAATTTGCAGAAATATACACGGCAATTGGTGTAATTTAAACTGATATACCATGGTACTTAACACTCAAATTTTCTTCAAATCTGTAGCGCTCATTTTGCAAAGTGTCAAGTACTGTTTGAGACAACAGTATCTTGTGAAAGACTATGTTCTCTGCAAAGAAAAATGCTCTACTTGTAGTAATGCTCAGAAGGTAAAAATAACGTCTGTCACTTTTAAATATCCTTTACATTTGATTTTGTTTTACTTACTGATCTACCAAAATACTATGATGACTAACATGTCAGTTTTCTCTACAGCCACCACACAGACATAGATCAAGAAATTAATTAACCCCAAGTTCTGAAACGTGGTGCATATTCGTGTACCCCTACTGTCTGATGTAAAAACCAAAGCGAGGAAATGTCATTTTGCTGTGAACATGTTAACAATATTATTTCAGTAATACAATTCTTTGGTAGAAAGCTGATATGTGAAATAGTACAGTTTTAGAGGAAACCATTTTAAAACATATGCAGCTAATATAAAATCACATTATCCAGCTATGTACTAAAAAACGTTTCATTATACCATGGCTTTGTATCCCCACACCCCATGTCATGTTTTGCCTGGCAGACGTCACCTCTAGAAGTTTATTTCAGCCCTTATTCAAAAACTGGCAAAACTGCATATATCAGCTTTTGGCCTTCCGCCACAGAACTGTAAAAGCTGAATACATACTATGAATGTGAAATCCCTTTAAGTGAGTGTTTTGCTGCTCTTCTTTAAAGGTGGCGACTGACTTGTAACATTTACTCGTAATGTAACATTCGCGGCGAGCATGTTACATTACACCACAACTGGTGAGGCGCATCGAATGCTCGTTTTGAACGCTCGGCTCGACTGTGCTCCATTCATTTCATTCAATATGTCGGACGTGGAGGTTGTGTTATCTTTGTTCCATTTAATACGCTACTCTTATCTAAAGAATTCGTGAATGCTCGTTACGACGCCGCTTGACTGACTGACTGACTTGTAATGTGACACTCAAAGGGATTCGCGAAAAAACCGACAACACGATGGAGCGCCCGCGAGCGTGAGCGGTTCGCATCGAGCGGCTCCGTTCGCTGTCCTCACTTGTGTAATGCTCGATTTGTAACATGTTACATTACAGGCAAATGTTACAAGTCAGTCGCCACCTTAAGACAAATGTGATACTGAGTAAAATGCTGTAAGAATGAAGGAAATGCAGTGTATGGTAGGATAGAGGGTGAGCAAGTCATTTTACTGACCTCTCTATGAGCTTTCTCATTTCCTCTGTAGTCAAGTCCTTGCTGTTGGCCCTGACATTTACTGAAAGCAAAATAAAAATACAGGCCTTTCCACTCAACTGACTCCTAAAAGGGGAGGGCGGGAGACAGAAAAATAGGACACTACAGGAACAGGCAGTTACACATCTGAAACTGCTTATTCCAGCTTCAAGCATAACACAATGTTAACCTACGTAACTGTTATAACACACAAGGTCAACACAAATCTAAAAATAAAAATAAAATATATATGTAGCTATCATAATAAAACACAAACACAATATAATCACGCAACTGAAACACATAGCAACTGATGTTAACAACTACAACATAAATTAAATTACATGGAATACTTGGTATGCAAATTGTGTGTAGTTAGCATTTATACGAACTGAAGGACCAACAACATGGATAGATACACGCTGTCATCCAAAAACTCCACATGCTGCTGACATCATCAGCTGGTAATACATACAGACACTTGTTGTGGAGTTTCTGGATAATATATTCATATATCTACATGTAGAGTTGATGATCCTGCAGTTCACATGAGCAATGAGCATCAGCACAAATTGAAGATCTTTAGTAATGTTTCAGACCAACACCAGTATACGTTCTTTTGCAAGTTTTGTGGTTATGTGGTTAATGTTGTTCAAATTTTGTTAATACTGTATATATGAATGAGAAGAGAAAAAAAACCAGTGGTGTTGGGTGTTGTATCTGTAATTGATAAATCGTGGATTGAGCATAGTAGATTAATATTTATTTATGTATTTGTTTATCCAAGCAAGGAATATAATTCTAGGTTAAACAGCTTTTCAATTAACTACCCTACAACTTGGTTCTGTTTATGCCAGTTAAGCAGAAGTTGTAATGTATATTTTATTGAGATATGTGTTGTTATGTAAGACTTGAGGTTCTCGCAGCGGTGAGTATGCAGATTTCCGTCTTCTGGGTTGTTGCGCTGTGTAGTCTGGTCGATGTTAACCAACGTTTCAGAGGGCCTGATGACGGAGGCAGTATGACCTCTGAAACGTTGGTTAACATCAACCAGACTACACAGCGCAACAAACCAGAAGACGGAAATCTTCATATGTGTTATTATTTAATGTATGAATTACTGAATGAACAGTACATGTGTACCATCCTGCATTGTATTCATGAAGTGACTGTGCTATAATAATTACTTTCTTGTAACCAGTATCCTATCTCTTCCACACATTTCACTTCAAAGCATGTCAGATTTATTTTATCTTCCTATGACTTCAAAACAAGGCAACTCCAAATTTTGGAAAAGCTCAACAGAAAATAAATGTGTCTGAAAAGTTAGGCACCTTTCATGCACACAAGTTACGAGACTACTAAAGTATCATGCAAATTCCCCCCCTGACACACACACATAACAAGCAAGGACCACTGCCACAGAACAGGTATTGTTAAGTACAGAGATACGCCTGATTACACTCTCCACGTATCACATCATGGGACTGGCTAATAAAAGTGTAATAACACTTTCATTAATAATATGTGTTTGCCTCTTTACTTTAACCCTTTTCAGTGTGTCTAAAAAAACACTGCATATGCAAGATATGACATCCAATTTTTAATTAAATGCTTCTGAAGTCTATCAACAGTTTTTCACATTTAACACTAGAAATTATAGCAAATGTTAATATGGAGAATTGATGTACTGGATCTTTGCACTGTAAGGGTTAACCCACTTCACTATATTCAGACTGCAACTACATTTTACCTTGATACTTTACAAAATTGCAGCTATTTTACATTACTTTGTGTATTAAAAATTAAATATTAAAAATATATTAAAATTGGCCGTCAATCACAATATAAGATAGTTAAAAGATTAAAATATCATTTTACGTTCCTTATCGAGTACTCGATTTACATGTGGAACATTTACGACATGTTTCGGCTATATATAGCCGTCATCAGGTGTTATATTATAAACTTTTTAACTGAATTACTGATTTTTACTGATATTTAATGATTTTTAGTTTTCATTTTTCTTATCATGTTCTCGTCCTTCATATTGTACCTTCATTCTACGAAATACAATCATATAAGTGACATGCGACACAACAACGAATGAAGATACAATATGAAGGACGAGAACATGATAAGAAAAATGAAAACTAAAAATCATTAAATATCAGTAAAAATCAGTAATTCAGTTAAAAAGTTTATAATATAACACCTGATGACGGCTATATATAGCCGAAACATGTCGTAAATGTTCCACATGTAAATCGAGTACTCGATAAGGAACGTAAAATTATATTTTTATCTTTTAACTATCTTATATTGTGATTGACGGCCAATTTTAATATATTTTTAATATTTAATAAATCACAATATGACGCACTTACAATATCTTACTACTCTGTGTAAGCCAAGTAGCTCAGGAAATGGAAAAGTACATGTGGGAATCAGTTCTACGCATTGAATAATCTTCGAACATGTCAAGAAGCAGGTAACTCTCCAATAGACAGAAATAGGAGACAGGAAAATAATCACTTTCATGTATAAACATTGCGAATTAAAACCTAAAGAGGTGTATTTTCATGCAAGGAAGGTGTTAGGACAAACTGATAAGAGAAAGAGGGTACATTTCTCCTATTAATTACAACAAAGTGAATATTTAGACCATCATATGATGCAATGTTCTTTAAGTTTTGTCATAAAGTGACACACTTCATCAAACTAATGCAATGACTGCAGTAGTGTACGTGAATAATAAACAGTCTTCTACAGTTGATGCGAAAATGTCTCATTTTAATATTTTATATAGCGGATCAAATCAGAAGCTTTCCCTTCTCAAACTGGTTCAGGTACTTGGAATTCTTTCTAAGTGACTACAATCATATTATTTAGGTAAGAGACAAAGAAGATTCTATTATTCTTGTTAGCATAAATTTAACTGATACTAAATCTAAACTGCCCGTCGCTATCTCGATGCACAAGATATTTAGTTCTGTGGCCATGGTCCTTTCAGCATTAGAGCTTACCAGAACATCGTTGACACACAAATATTCAAAAGATCCAAGTCCCATAATCACTGACTGGTTATCATACACATGATTAATATCAATGACAGCACAAACACAAACTGTTAAGATGACTACTGGAAACAAACAGCAATTGTTAGATTGATTTGCAACAAGTTATGTTGATAAAGGTTTCTTCTCTACAAGTTAGGGTATTTTGTTTGTTAAACAGAAAGGAATCAATAAGATATGTAAATCTGTCTTTTGGTTTAAGCACCACAACATGAAGATGTATGGAGGAGCAGAATCAAAGATCCACACATTCTTAATTCTAGCCCTGGACGTAAATAAGTGATCAGCTTGATTCTACGGCTATCTGCCCTTTAGGAAGCCTCTGGCACCCACTGGGCAGGAGGGTGAGAGAGTCCCAGACAGTCTGGATATAGTGTTGAAGAGACAAATCGTTATTCTTGCTGGGATTCAACCCATCTTCCAGCCTGGAGTCACCTAACTAACTAAGCTGTTCCAGCAAATATGAAAAGTATTGCACATTTGCTTTGGTTCTTTATCAATTACTGAAGTTTTTAAATATTCTTTGCATGAAGTAGATAAAATGAATGTATAAGAGTGAGGTTATGTCTAATCCTCCACATATCTGCATGTTTCATATACAAAACTATTCAAGCTCTGTACTAAAAGTCATCATTAAAATTTAATTTTGACCTGAATTGGTCTACTTATATGACACTCAAATTGAATTTGATCATAATCCTCAAGAACTGAAGTCAGTGAATATGCCTACCAGCATAAATGGTAATAAATTAAGTCTTCATTACAAAGTCAGGTTAACTGGTGTACATTCTGACCCCAGACAAGGTACTGGGTCACGAACTTTATGAAACTGACATCTACAGGAATGAAAATATGAACTTCATGAACCAGAAAAATTATTTATATGAGATTTTAAGTTTTCATTGTAGTGAAAATTTGGACTGCGGTCTTCTGGATTATGATGCTGTTTAAGTCTTGTAGGTGGTTACAAGATTGCATGCAGTCATAACCCATAAGACTATAATCCAAATACTTTGCACTGCTGTAAATAGATGAAGCCTTCAGACATGAGATTTCTTGTAGAGAAGATATCTCTATATCACAATATAATTCTGATTAGAGGTTATATTCTTTTAAATACATGCTAATTAGTGTAGTCTTTGCTCACCTCCATAGTTGCGATTTACAAGCTGATCACGGTCACACTCAGCTTCTGAGATCTCGTTGCTTTCTTTCGAGTCGTTGAAGGATGAACTGTTAGGATCGTGGTTCCTTGGAGGTGGTGGAGGAGGTTCAGGGCTCCCAGACAAAGGTAGGTTACGGGCAGAACCTGATAAATAACAACAATAATAATATAAACAAATCAAGGAACAAAAGTACCATTTCCTACTGCTAAAATGATTTTTGAATAGATGTTAAATCTTCAATATTCACTTCATGATATTGAACTGCTGTCTCTTAACAGTAAAAGTTTTAAATTCCTATAATTGCTGTCATAATGTTTAAAATATTTTCTTAATATTACAGTTAAAATAATTTAACACTTATTGACAGAAAGTCACATTTATATATTCCCTTTTGTGAATAATTATGCTCATATTAGAATGCTGATGTATTTCTTCATATCCTAGACTTCATTTCAGATTAATGTCTTTATAAAAGCTGATGTGGTAAATTTACAGACACATTGTGTACAAGTTGTAAAACAAAAGCTGATCTACATTTTACCATCTGATATTATTACAATTTAGCTCCACAAAATCTGTAATTATATTTTTTTTAGTATTTCCTGTAGGAAACAGAAAAACATTTGATAAAGTGCCAGCATCCTGTACTGAAAGTGTTAAGGATAGCTTGAAATACGCACCTACGCTACGTCGGCTGACAGAGCCTCGACTGCCATAATGATCATACGGAGCACCATACTGGCCGTACTGGCTGCCATACTGATCCTCTTCTGGAGCACAGTTGGCAGGATCATCATACTCTGGTCCGGGTACACAGTTGGCAGGACCATTCTGGTTGCCTACTCGAGAGTAACGCCCATTGGCTCGAGGCTGTACATACCACGTCACTCATATGTATTATTTCACTAATGGTTCCTTATTTCAAGTGCTCAAATTGCTGATAGATCAGTGATGAAGGGGTATTTAAAAGAAAAATTCTATGGAAAATATATGGATTCAAGAGAATGGAATTAACAATCCACTTGTTAACAGACTCCCAAAATTTTTATATGAAAATGTAAAAAAGAAAATTAACATTATTCATTACAAGTGTTAATATTTATTAATGGTGGTGGTAATTAATGAAAATTTTGTATGAATGTTACATGTTTTTACATACGTTTAGGGAGATAATGTTAACCAGAGTTTATGTGTACAGGGAACGTCTATGTACTCCACAGAGTACACCTTACCAGACTTGTTTTTTGGGAGGGAGGGGCAGTGAATGAATGTTATTTTTGAAAGTTATGATGCAGTTTCTCATTTGAAAAGGAGTTTAGGTGCTCCACAATCAACTTTCTTGACTCAGTTCCACCTTACGTTTGACTGTTCCCAGTAATGCAACATTCACCTTATGTAACCCAAAACCAATCAATGAAGAAATGCATTGGGCACAGTAATTCATTGGCACAGAATATACACCACTAAAGAACAGAAGATAAAATATATAATCTGAAGCTTTCACGGTGATGAAATTCAATAAAATCTTCTTGGGCAATCAACCACATCAAATGGTTTGGCGGGTACTGACATTTCAGGACCAATCTGTCCCCATCATCAGGGTTCTGATGTCAGAATAGCATGTCCTTCCCATAAAGGTTAGTGACATATGATTTGAAGCTTTCGTGACAACTAAATTCAATACATCTTCTCAGGCAAACAGCCACAACAAATGGTTACATGAAGAAACCACATAAGATGTGATCAAAACCCTGACAATGGAGACAAAGATGGTTCCCAAAATGTTGGTTTCTTTGTGTGACCATTTGTCGCAGCTGATCGCCTGAGAAGATTTGATTGAATTGATAAAATGTTTTCAAGGTGAGGTACACAAGTGGCAAATATGTAAACAGAGACGAGGGGAAACATGTTGAAAAGTGAATGAAGTATTTATCTCCATTTTTAGAAATTAAACGTTTACATCAAAATAATACTTACTTTTAAAATGTAACTTGTTCTTCCTTAACTCTGATAATGAAACTCACCATGGACTGAGATCCACTGCGCTGATGGATGTGCCCATTTCCAGCCATCCCACTGGGGCCCATGGGACCAATGGTACCACTGTGAGTACGTTCATGTCCATTCTGGTGTGGAAATGTCTGGAACTGCATTGCCTTGTTAGGGTCCATCTCTTCACGGAATCCCAGCAAATGGAATGTCGCGTAGGGACAGATCTCATCTTCCATACCTGGAATGGTAAAGCAGAATGCCAAAGCGTAGAAGTGGCTCATTACAATCAAATGAAATGAAATGAAAAACAAAAGGAAAGGCACCCACTGTATATTTATCTTTCATAAAAGAAAATGTTTCTTTTTGTTTTCATGTACAACTAGCAAGTGCTGACATGGTGCATTTTATAGTTTTGGTTATAGGTTTAAACACTCCTCTTTGTACTCATAGACTTATAAGAATTTTTCATACCCATATAATTTTCATCAAGTTACAATGAGTCATCAGCACACCTACATATTTCATACGGCTACCATGTTGCAATTTTCAATTTACCTAAAAACTTCAATTAAAGTTACATGCATATCAAAGCTCTGCAAATGTATTCAATGACAGTGGTGTTCTTATCCCGTATAAATTCACATGGCTAGCATGTTGGTATTGTTGACAAAGGGTTAAAAACATGAAGACAGAAGACATCCAATGGTAAGACATACATATCAAGTTTGTCAAAAATCAGTGTATTATTATCTATAATAATGCATGCCCATATATCAATCAGAGAACGGATCGATAGACATGCATACTCGTTAATAAAGTTTGAAAGAAGTAGACATGGAATCCTTAAAAGGGAGTAAAAACTCCTAGTGTTCCTTCACTCAGTTATCCCATAAAACATGAGACAAAATATGAAAACAGAGCATTCACATTCACTTAAGTTGTGGCTACTGTTTTTAGTTTAATGAACTTTCTTGACATGTGTGCACCTCAGCAATGATGATGGAACCCCTTTTTTTATGAGGGTACCACTACTCAAAACAGTAGGATTATGATGGCCAGCAGGTTTGGTATTTTATAAAATACTAGGATACAGACATTTTCGACCCTTCCTGAATGTTCCAACCACCTAATTTAAAATTATTTTATTTTTGAAATGATATAAATTGTTTTCAGTTCCTTTCACGTCTGCTCCATACTTTTGATCATATAGCCATTATCTAGCAACTGCCCTCAGACAATGTACCCCTCCTGCCTCTATTTTGCTTTCTTTGTTTCTTGTCAGTACGGAAACAATTAAGTTTATTTCATGAGAGTAGTTACTGCCATTCAGCTGGGCAGAACGAGCTCTTCCCTGGAGATAAACTGGGTGGAACATGCAGCTGACCACTCATCTCATTTAGTCCTGAAGCTTATAATCTGTGGAAATTTACCATCATGTCTCTAATGTGGGGTGTTACTTGGACTTGGAGGCAACTTTACCTTAACTTAATCAGAACAGTTAAATCTGATTTTCAGGCAGGGGCCAAGTGTTTATGTTAACTGTGTTAGCCCACTTTGAGAAATGATGAATAAGAAGTCTTCTGTCTTACTTTCATAGCTCAGTAATATTTTATATACTGTAACACAGCAAAACTGGTAAGATAAAACATATCATTAGCAAGGCCCAGCCAGCAGGAAACTGGTAAGATAAAACATATCATTAGAAAGGCCCAGCCAGCAGGCATTATTAGCTAGCTGCTTCAGGCTTATGATCACAGTCAGAACTTTGCTAGCTAATAATACAATGTACTTTATTTGATCAGTTCTGCTATGTTGAAGTGTGTGGAGAACCAATGAATCACAAAAGTAAGAAAAAAATTCAAATATATATTTATTATTCAAGTCTATACACAAACTTTTAAATTGTTGATGTTAAAATTTAAAATCACCATTAATATTCTGCGCCATTCATCGTTATCTCGATGTTACAATATTGCGCTATATATTACTACATGTTTCAATGTCATAGCATCATCTTCAGGTTTTTATCATTTAAAACTATTCTATATTTATTAATGCACGCTTTTCATTGATTGTAGATTGTAGATTACTGTTCAAATGAACAAATAACATAATACGCAACATAATATGCAAAATAATAAGAAGATCAAAGGAACACCCACAACAGTAATCTACAATCAATGAAAAGCGTGCATTAATAAATATAGAATAGTTTTAAATGATAAAAACCTGAAGATGATGCTATGACATTGAAACATGTAGTAATATATAGCGCAATATTGTAACATCGAGATAACGATGAATGGCGCAGAATATTAATGGTGATTTTAAATTTTAACATCAACAATTTAAAAGTTTGTGTATAGACTTGAATAATAAATATATATTTGAATTTTGAACACAAACATGACGCATCTAAACTATAAGACAAAATATGTTTATTTTTAGTTTTTAAAGTACTAGCTGTGCTAAAAACATTTAACATAAACGCTCTGCCCCCATTTTCAGGTACAGATTTCTAGAACAGAATGAAATCAATCCCATAAACTGAAACTGTCTTAAGTATAAACTTGGGAAGTCAAGAGCAAATTCATGTCTCTGTTTCTGCTGTTAAAAGTAACCATACATGACTGTCATGCCAGATACATACAACAAGCATATTTTGTGTGGGTTTTTTTTTTCTTTGCTATACAAAGCTCTGTAAAAGAGTTAACTATAGTTAGAAAACATGCAGCAAGAGAAAACACTCAAGCACAACATGCTAGAGGGCAGCAGTAACTTACCTCAATGTTCTCAAAGTTTTGGCTGTCCTGTTGTCTATGCAATTACCATTATACCTTATATAAAAGCAACTAATTAACTCATTTTGTCATTTGCTGCAGACAAGACAGGGAATTTCCATGTTCTGTGAGGAAGTACTACTTCTCATGATATCTTAACATTATTTCTATATACATGTAGATTTTCAAGTTCATTTGAATATATAGTCTAACATTGAAGATAATTTCAGTTTAATTTTCCCATGTTGGCATGTTGTTTGGTATGATTTTCTCTTTAAAAAAACATTGCTTACAAGTTTATATAAATACTTGACAGTTTACATTATGATGAGAGAAAAGGAAAATGTGTTTTAAAAATTTTGATCACAAAAATTATAATATTAGTTAATTATTATACTGTTTACTGTCTGTCTTATGAGAGATGTAGTGAAGACTGTGAAGCCAGTTTTAGTAATAAATCATAGCTGAGACCAGAATGAACTGGAAAGAGAGGCTGGTCACTTATGAACATGACCGTAAAGTGATCATGGCACCAATGACAAGAGAAACATTGTAAGACTTGAGGTTCTCACAGCGGTGAGTATGAAGATATCAGTCTTCTGGGTTATTGCGCTGTGTAGTCTGGTCGATGTTAACCAACGTTTCAGAGGTCATACTGCCTCCGTCATCAGGGCGATGAATATGCCAATAGGGTGTGAGGAGCTGGATTTATAGGCCGGGAAGTGAAAGGTGTAGCCTGCCCCGAGCCAATGGGAGCAGGCATGGGAGTACACTAATGGTAGCACGTGGGCGAGAGAATACAGAACTCTTCATACTCATCGCCCTCATGACGGAGGCAGTATGACCTCTGAAACGTTGGTTAACATCGACCAGACTACACAGCGCAATAACCCAGAAGACGGATATCTTCAAGAGAAACATTATATTGACACTCTGCCTGATGGTGACTAGAATGAATGTTCAAGTGTTGATATTCCTTTCAAACAAATCCTGGCATTAGTGTAGTTCAGAATGAAACCACAAGTGCAGAGGAGATTAAAAATGTGATCTTTAATGCTGTTTGGAACATGTTATATTACCTACATACAAATCATCAAAATATAACATTTCAACGAAACCTTCAAATGGACTAACATTACATAAAAAATAAATGAAATCACTATTACTGTGACATAACCTAAAGTATCGCCCATCTCATGCTCCTTGTTTTGAATATACTAATATTATTCCTTAGGGTAAAAGATAAAATTTCACAATATTCATAGCAGGTAAGACTACAGTTTTGTGTATTTTAATCTTTAGGTATATGGATAGGACACATGGTTGAAAGATTAATCTGAATGGTAGAAACATTCCCCAAATTTAAACTGCTCTTAATTTCACCATGAATGTAATTTACAGTTTTTAATGTTGTCTCAAAGCATTTGAACGTTGGCACAGAATAAACATATTATACCTACAAACTGAAATTAAGAAACTTCAAAGCAAAACAGATCATGTCAATAGTTTGTTGTCATTCTACTATATTCATCCAGCACGTTTAATTAATGTCACTTCACAGGGTTGGTAGAAAACTGGGTTGTGTATGTGGGGGGAGGGGGGATTGAACACAAATAAAATGTCAATGTCAAAATAAAAATACATAAGAATATTCTAAGAAAGTGAAAGAAAAGAGGCAGAAAATATTTAAAACAAGATTGTAAAGGTAGACAGCTAATGTCTTACCTGTTCTATGAT